TAAAGGGATTCATGAAAATCTTTAGCATGTCATTCTGTGCCAGATGTATTTAAAAACTGTTAGTGTTTCAGTTGTTATTAAGCTAAATAGCCTTAGTTCCTTTAACATACTGAGAGTGAAAATTATCTAAATATTACAAATAAGGCCTAAAAGCACTATCTGGCCTTGTAATTGACATCAAAATGATTCTGATTTAATCATACTGAAATTCCCTAAAACTTATTGTTGGACATACATGAGTAGGTATAAAGACTTTCTTACTTATTAATGTTTGGTGACCAAATTAGCCACATTTGGTGCTTTGCTGAGTTCCCTGCTGTCACAGGATCATTAGTGTACCAAGAGCTATAGCATCATCTGAAAGACTGTGTGGAGTATGCACATAATGTCACTGTAATTTAGAAAGCTTGATATCCCATGTAACTTACACAGACAAATGTCAGACATGAGAATACCTATACAGACACTGGCTCCTGAACTGGCATAGTTTCTGTTTCTGCCATCTTTGGAAGACAACACTTTGAAATTAGTGAGAGGGGACATGATTTCATGAAGCGATCCAATGGGACCAGTATCACTGACAAGAGAAGAAATCTCCCTCCAACTGGGCAGGTGTCCACTGGTCAGGGCTACAATGAACACTTTTCATTCTATCGCGTTTCTGCTGAGAGACCACTGACGTAGGGAAATTCTCATTCTCTGTTGCCAGAGAAACCTACTGTGTTCATTTCTGCTTATTTTATGAGTTGGGAAAGTTATGTGATAAGTGACTGCAATGAAAACATCACTATATTTATACATCCTGGTCAGTGCTGGTCAAAGCTAATGCTGCGACTTCCTTCCCTGCCTTCCTGCAGAGGTGTCTCTGAGTGGCTCTCTGCCCCATATGCTCCACGCCTGCCAGCATGTAGAAACATACTATACAAATGCTTTCCTAGATGATTGCACCTAAAATACACTGAGATGGGGGAATTCAGTGAAGCTGAACTCAGTGAAACCTCTCCAGGCTCCACTTTAGACAAATATTTCTTGTGTTCTAAGCCTATCTAAGCGTAAGGCTTTTATTGAATAATTGATTTAGTGTACAGACTCAGACTCTTGACCACACTGATGTCTTTATACTAGTATCTCAGATATTGCTATCTCTTGAGCTTTCTTCTCAGTCTGAACAATATTTGTCTTATAGCTATATGGAGGTGGATAGGAGTCTTAATTAATTAATTAATTAATTAATTTGTTCTTTATTTTTGGATAGGAGTCTTTAAAATATACTCTTTTATGTCTTATTCTGAATCTATTCAAAACACAGGTTTTTGAAACTCAAAATCTCCTTTCTTACAGATCATTGTTTTTGAACTTTAAAAACTCTTAATTTAAACAGTCAAGGATATTTTCTCTTGTTCAATACTGGCATTTCTGCTGTGATAGTCCTGCCCTGAGTTAATGCATTAGCAGATCAAGTCTGAATGTTTAGAGAATCATGGGGTATAAAACGACAATAACAGCAACATAAAATAATTACAATGGAGACAAAAACATATTATTAATATATCCAAATAGTAACAAATTGCAACTGATTTCTCTATTTGGCTTTACAAAATAAAGCGTGCTATTTAAAACATATCAGAGAAGAAGAATATGTAGGATACCTGGATTAAAGATTCCTAATCCTCTTTGTTTATGAAAAGAGTAATTTTTTAAATTTTTTTTAAAGTTAGTTTTATTGAAGTATAGCTGCTTTGGGCTTCCCTGGTGTCTCAGATTGTAAAGAACCTGCCTGCGGTGTAGGACATCTGAGTTTGATCCCTGCGTCAGGAAGAGCCCCTGGAGAAAGGAATGGCTACCCACTCCTGTATTCTTGCCTGGAGAATTCCATGAACAGAGGAGCCTGAAGAGTCAGATATGACTGAGAGACTAACACTTATTATAGTTGCTTTACAATGTTGAGTTAGTTTCTACTGTATAGCAAAATGAATCAGTTATACGTATACATATATCTTCTCTTTTCTTGGATTTCTTTCCCATTTAGGTCCCCAGAGAGTACTGAGTAGAGTTCCCTAAGCTATACAGTAGGTTCTCATGATTTATCTTATGTGCTTAGTCACTCAGTCATGTCTGACTCTGTGACTCCATGGAGTGTAGCCTGCCAGGCTCCTCTGTCCATGGGGATTCTCCAGGCTACAATACTGGAGTGGGTTGCCATGCCCCTCCTCCAGGGGCTCTTCCCAACCCAGGGATCAAACCCAGGTCTCCCGCATTGCAGGCAGATTCTTTATCATCTGAGCCACCAGAGAAGCCCTGAATACTGGAGTGGGTGGTGGTGGTGGTGCTGCTGCTAAGTCGCTTCAGTCGTGTCTGACTCTGTGCGACCCCACAGACAGCAGCCCATCAGGCTCCACCATCCCTGGGATTCTCCAGGCAAGAACACTGGAGTGGGCTGCCATTTCCTTCTCCAGTGCATGAAAGTGAAAAGTGAGAGTGAAGTCGCTCAGTCCTGTCCGACTCTTTGCCACCCCATGGACTGCAGCCTACCATGCTCCTCCATCCACGGGATTCTCCAGGCAAGAGTACTGGAGTGGGTTGCCATTGCCTTCTCCAGCCTATCCCTTCTACAGGGACCTTCCCAACCTAGGAATCGAACTGGGGTCTCCTGCATTGCAGGTGGATTCTTTACTGCTGAGACACCGGGGAATATAAGGTATTAAAGTTATTTTAACAGTTTGAATCTTAGAAAAGCTTGCTCAGATGTAAAGGCAGTTCTTAACTATAAAACTCAATGTACGTTTTGCCTTATTTTCTTGGGAATATTTCTTCTGATTCAAACCTACAGTGGCTTCCTTTTATTTTTCCCATAAAATTTAAACAATTTAGTACAGCACTCAGGGACCACTGTGACTTGACTCAACACCACATCTCCAGGTTTTGCTTTTGCTCGGTGCCTTCATGAATTGGACGCTCATGTCCCACTGACCTGCTCCTCTAGGCACTTCCTGAGCTGTTTGGACTCCAAGATCTGCTTCAGCCCGGTCCCTCCCCAGGCAGGCCTCCCTTCTTCTTCCTTGCCCGGGTTGCCCTATCAGTCCATGGGTCTCTCAGCCTCTTGGCTTGGTCCCGTCATGAGGCTCTCTCATCCCTCACCTATGGCATTAGTTTAAGGCTACAATGTATCAGGAATGTTTGTGTAGTGATAAGAGGACCAGAACCAGCAGGAGAAAACTTGGGTTTTATCCTGGTTTGAAGCATCCTGGCAAGATCATGCCAATTCTCAGGCCTGTCTGTGGATCTCATAACTGCCACTGCATTGTTTTCAGTCTGCGGTTTATTGACTAAACATTTCTGCTCTTTGTGTATAGAAATCAAGTCTCAGTTCCTAATTGCTTTGTACTTAGTAAATATTTGCTGAATCAAATAGAGCAACAGATAAGAAACAAGGAGTTTACTGATAGATCTAATGGGATAATGATGAAAATGATGGTAAGTTTATTTATTTGACTAAATATCAATGGTAATAAATATTATCTTATTGACAGAGAGTAGGAAAGGAGTTGGTTATGGGGCTTCCTTTCCCATCCCTTCTATCTCAGTCAATAATTGTGATTTCCTTTTCTTATATCTGCAGAATAAAAATGTTTAATACTTTTTCTTTGTACAGTGAAGAAGAGATAATATATAGAAGTTCATAGCAAAAGGGCTGTAGATTAACTACAAATTCATGTTTCATTTGACAAGCTTCTGAATAAGCTCAGAAAACTTTGCTGGGTAAATACCAAGTTAGATTACTTTATTCAAAAGAAGATAGAAATATCTCAATTCCTAGACAAGAAAGTAAACCTTTAGCATTTCAACAAGTGACATTTGGTGTTTTAGCTTGCTGCATAGCTTCATGTTGGTGAAGAATATCTATCTCTCTCAGAATAAAAATAAACTTACCTCTGTACTTCTTAGCCCATCACACCTGCTATTCAACTATGTGCTCTTTGCTTGTGGTTACCTGAAATAGTGGGGAAAAAAAATAGAGTACAAATTAAATACAACTCAATAGCATTTTGTGAAAGGTAAATGTTAGACATTTAATTGATGACAGACACACACTTCATAAAACTATCAGCATGCAACTCCAGCTGCAAGAACTGAACAGCAATATGCCTAAGCTGGTTAGCAGCAAAAAAGTAAACCGATTACATTGACAAAAGCCACCATAAACAAAAAAAATTGTTTTTAAGAGATTAACAGTTTTGGCATTCATCCCTACCATCGAGTCTTTCATTTTCTTTGTTCCATCAAAATTTAGCTTACATTTGATGTTAACAAGAGTTGCATTACTATTATTGTTAATTTTAGTTCTGTTTATTACCTTGAGGGTTATATATTGTAAAATAATTTTGGTGCCTCTAGTTAACGTTAATTAGTTGTTTTAATAACCTATAGACCTATTTGTTATGTTTTTGTAGGTTTACTTTTTTAACTATCAGGAACTTAATAACTGAGAATATTTAACATTACTGTTGCATAGCAAAATTACAGAGTTACTACTAGTGTTACCTGTTTTAACGTTTAGTCATCCTTTGAGTCCTGCGACATATTTCGTTAACAATCATCAGCCATCAAGTCTGATAGTCTCAAAAGAAATATCAGCCCTCTAAACTGCCTTCAAGGGCGGTGATATTTAGCACTGAAAATTACAAATAAAGTTTTGAGGTTGAATAGCAACAAGTGGCCAGTGACACTGATGATTTGTTTGTCAAAACAAATTGTTGTAAACTACGCAAATGAAGACCACATATTCCTTTGAGTGAAAACAATAAAGTGAATCTACGCAATGCTTACATGTTGGATGGGATATTTAATGTGCGGGAAACTCAAAGGTTGAAGAACTAGGCATTTAGACAGTGGTAAGTGGTAATCTTACCTCTTTATACTCCATTACTCTTTCTCACGAGAGACAAGCTAATGCAAACAAGTCAACCAGAATTTGTGTTTAGCAAGATAAAGCTTAGAGGATAGTTTAAAATCCATTTATTATTCTAAATCCATATTTTTCCCATTAACATGTTATACATTAGTGTCTACTAACCATGATTCATGTAACAGTTTAGTTTGCTAACTTTTAAATTATTTAACAACCATAAGTTATTAGTACACTTTTAAAGTATTACACAAATATCTTAAAACAGGCTTGGGTTCATTTTTGTAATTTTTAAATAGAAAACATTTTAGGCATATATTAAAGAAGAAATAAAGCAGGCATTTAAAGCTAGAAAACAAGTAATTCCAAATTTAGTTTTTACAAAAGCTTTCAGCTTTATTGACAAATTATGGCAAACATATTTGACAAATTGTGGTTTCCTATTTAGAGAAGCTTACACATGGAACTTTATGTGTGTGTTTTTTTCTTTTTTAACAAATACAGGTTAAAACACTAAACAAATTCAGTTAGCTACATACATACAGTAGCTGCTTGTTTTCAACTCCATTAAAACAGCATTTAAAATTAAATTTACAAACTTAATTTCAAACAGCTTCATCTAACTAACAGATATTAAAAGACAGGTTAAAACATCTTATCTACAACTTTATTATAGCTAGTTCAAATATTGTGTTACAGTCTTTTAGTAAACTTAAACAAAGTTTTTCTAATTGATTGAGACTCAAAGTCTGTTAAAAGATTCATGCTCTTTGTTAAAAAAAAAATAGAGAGAGAGAGAGAGAGAAAGATTACACACAACAATGAAAACAACCCAGAGAGTATCATCCTACTGAATGATGGTTTATAGATGATGCTTGCCAACATCTTTTTTAGTCTGTGTTGTAAAATAATAATAATAGTGTCATTGTCATGCCAACTGTATAGGGGAAATACAAGAAATATATGGGAGCAATCATGGGCAGTTATCCCTAGAATAGGAACAAAAAAAAGGACTATTACTTGTCATGTTGTTGTTTACGTGGAGACCACAGGCTATGAACTGTCTCTGAGGTGAGGTCACAGGCGAGGAGGACCCTCAGTATCTACCATAGGGGTGCTCCCTGTATCCCCCTCGGGCTGACCTTGATGGAGGTGCTTTCAGGCTGGAGTGAGTCGTGGCCCATTCTTCTGGCGCTATGAACAAGAGATAGATAGTAACATTCACTTTCCTTCACAGTTATTGAAAGCAGTTACTTAAGATGCAATAGTAGAAAAGAGAGTAAGGCATCTTAACACTGAAGGCTCTAGCCTTACTACATGTTCCACATGGTGAGATCATCCAAAAAAAGTAGATATTTTGAAATGCAACCACTTGGAAATAAGCCAGCATGGCATTTTTCAAGGCACAGAAAGTTAAGAATGTTTAAACAGAAAGTCCATATTAAAAAGAAAGAGGAGCATCAAGGTAAACCACCCCTTCCTTATTCTTTACACAGACTCCTAAAAGAAGCTGGATAGGGGAAAACAGCAGTTTTTAGCCACTGATTAACATAAGAATAATCTGGGAATCTTGAAACCAAACAAGACCCAAAATGCCTAATGTCTGTTTTCTATCTCCAAAACCAAATGATTAGAAACTCATTGAGTTGAGACCCAGGGTTTGGGAATTTTTACATGGTTCCCTATATCAAGGTTCCCCAGCCTCTGGGCCATGGACTGGTACCTCCTGTCAGATCAGCAGTGGCATTAAGTTAGAAATAAAGTGCACTTGAATCATCCCAAAACATTCCCCCACCCCTGGTCTGTGGAAAAATTGTCTTCTGTGAAACCAGTCCCCGATGCCATAAAGGTTGTGGCCACTGATCAGGGTCCAAGTTTGAGGTTCATTTGTGTTAAACTATCCAAGTTAGTGAGAGTAAGTGTCAGTAGCCAAATCAGTAAAGAAAAATCTTCTATCAGTTTTTCCAATAAACAAGTTGGAAAATAAAGTGGTATTAGTAGACTAGGACAATTCATCATTTATGTTTAATCTGACTTCCAGTAACCTCAATGTTCTGGGACAAGAAAAGCAACCAAGCTTTTGGGTATTGTGAAAAATAGTTTCTGTAAAGTCTGTGTACCTGGAAGGGAAATGTAGTGCTTTTCCAAAGGGCCAAGGTGTCTGTGGTGACTTATATGGTCCCAGAAGCTAGGCTATCTAGGACTTTCAGTCATAATTCAGTTCTTCATTAGAGAGAAGACTGGACTATGGTGGGAGGAAGTATGGGAATAAGAAGAGGGATTACTAGAAAGACATACATTGGCATCGATAGCTGATATAAAAGGTGGTGTTAATGGAAATAATTGGAAAATCACTGCAGATTGAGGGCATATACCTCTAAAAGTTCAAGTGCTCTAAAAATGTCATCAGCAAACATAGTAAGAAAAAATTTAAATTGTACTTACTATAATGCAAGGAATAATGATCTACAATACAGAAAAATGAACAAAAGTTGGGTTGATGTAGGGGAAAATAGCATTAAAGGGGTGAACATTAGGTGTCTAAGGATATCCTTCATCAGAATACCTTCATTATAAATGATATAAGATGATAAATGAAGGATTTCATCTCTTTCACTATTTATTTTTATTGTCTGAGCCAGGAGGGAAACCCTTTAAAGTACATGCTTATGTATATTTTAGCATATATTGGGACATAAAAGTGAGACCCTAAATAAATATGAGAAATGTTACTGTGGGTCAGAAAATAGATATATCTGGATCAGGGGTTGGAAAACTAAGACCTTTGAGCCAAATTTGGCCAGATGTCTGTTTTAATAAATGCAGTTTTACTAGAATACAAGTACGCTTATTTATTAAAACATTGTATGTGGTTGCCTTTTCCCTACAAAGGAAGACTTGCGTGATTGTGACCATACTGGTGCAAAGCCTAAAGTATTTACACTCTGGACTTTTACAGGAAAGGCTTACAGGCCACACTCCATATCATGTTTTCTTTTTTGGTGGGGTATTGCAGATATTGGTCCTTTTCACAGCATCTCTTGAAGACAGGAATTTAAGTCTGAGCTGCTGGACTTTCTCCGGAAAAGGCAATGGCAACCCATTCCAGGACTCTTGCTTGCAAAATCCCATGGACGGAGGAGCTTGGTAGGCTGCAGTCCATGGGGTCACTAGGAGTCAGACACGACTGAGCAACTTCATTTTCACTTTTCATTTTCATGCATTGAAGAAGGAAATGGCAACCCACTCCAGTGTTTTTGCCTGGAGAATCCCAGGGACGGGAAAGCCTGGTGGGCTGCCGTCTATGGGGTCGCACAGACCCCATAGACACATAGACTGAAGCGACTTAGCAGCAGCAGCAGCTGGACTTTCTCAACATAGACATTTTGGAGAATAATGTGATCTGTGTACTTGATTGGCATTAAAGAAAAATTTCTTTGATGTACTGGAAGGGAAAATAGGTTAAGCCTTGTTAGCCTTATATAATGTGAATTTTATACTTTGTCTATGAATTATCAAGAATATGTCAACGTCTTCACCCTCTAGTGATAGAAGATAAAATCTACCCTGCTCTATTACTGTTTTTAACAAAGGGAATGTACCACCTTTTGCTTCATTTTATCTAAGGTGTTGAAGATCCCTGAGTTGCAATTTACGTGTTTTAGGAGCTGCGAATAATATAGGTTTCAAGTTTCCCAGGGGATGAAGTCCTGGATTCGTTCTTAGATGCTGAATGTTCCTGCAGAAACGCAAAACAACACAGTCGCAGCTGCCATATCTACTCCCAGATTTGTTAGAGCTTTTAAACTGGCATAATCTTGGGGACTTGCCACAGAGCACATGTGTTTAATAAAAACTCACTTAGTTTTATTTGACTTTATTTAAAGCTCCAGGGGGCTTCCCTGGTGGCTTAGTGATAGTCTGCCTGCCAATGCAGAATTCACCAGTTCAGTCCCTGGGTCAGGAAAGTCTCCTGAAGAAGGAAATGGCAACCCACTCCGGTATTCTTGCCTGAGAAATTCCATGGACGGAGGAAGCTGGCGAGCTACATTCCATAGGGTCACGAAAGAGTCAGATATGACTTAGCAACTAAATAACAACTCTCCAGAACAGCAAACTGATGGTGGAGGTGGGGCGGCTGCGCGCCACCACGACCGGCCCCTGGGCTGTTCAAAATGATCCGGACGCAAGTAGGCCCCCGGGGCCCATCACGGGGTCTCACCGCCGGAGGCCTCCAGCACTGAGGCGGTCCGGGCACCCGCAGGGAGAACACTCCGGTACTGCCGCCCTGCGCCCCCCACGCGCAGCCCTCCGTGCCCAGCGCCCCCCAGAACCAATGAGGGCTCTCCGCCCGGCGAGCCGCCGGCCAAGAGGCAGGGGGACTACATCCAAGCGAGACGAGGCCAGTTCGGCCCCAGCCGGGGGACGTGGGCGAGTCTGGCCCCCTGCGGGGCCGGGCAGTGCCGGCCGCGACTGAGGGCGGCGCGCCTGCTCCGTGAGGGGCGCGGGCGCCCCGGGGGCCGGGAAGACCGAGACGCGGCGGAGACGGCAGGAACACAGGCGCCGCAGACACGGGGGCGGCCCTGGGGGGCCGGCAGGCCCAGCCACCCTGGAGCCTCCCGCGTCCCTGGCCCGACGTCTGGGCCGGCGGGCCGCGGCCTCACCGCGTGCAGCGGAGGCGCCCAGCCCGCCCATCTCGCCCGTCCGTCCTCCGCAGAGCCGTCTTCTTCTAGCCCGACCCCAAGGCTCTAGTCCTGGGGACACTCGCCAGCGAGGCGACCCAGCCGAGTCCGCACACCGGCTGCGGCTGGAGGCTCCTCAAGGCTGCGGGACTGCGGAGCCCGACCTCGCTTCCCCGCCCTGGGCTCACCACTGGGCCTGCCGGGCGCAGGGAAAACGAGTGGCCCCACGTGCCCGGTGCTTGGCGGGCCCAGCGGGACCCTCCCCGGAATGACGGGGGAGGCGCGGGCCCAAGTCTGTTCTCTTCTGCTTCACCCCAAATTCAGTCTTTGAGATTTAATTTGGTGTGAGGCTACAAAGGCCATATTCCACTTCAACGTTAACAAAAAAGGCAAGCTGAAATCCTCCCCAGACAAAGGGAGTTTTAGATTTGTCTAAGAGTCCTTACCATTAGCAGAAGAAATCAATTTCACTTAATTCAGATCTTGGGCCCATTGTTTACATCTTTTCAATAATAAAAGGTGAGGGAAATACTATTTCTATTTGTGCATATTTCTTTGGTCTGTATTTTTCTTAATATCAGAATGGTTACAGATAGTCACTCACCACAATATAATACAAGCCAGCTTCTCTCACTCAGGTTTCGGACTTTGGGTCTGGACTGGAAAGCACTGACTCAACAAATAGTTTCCTTCGTCATGAATCATACGGTGTGTCAGTGAGCCTTGTGTTATCCGCCAATACCCTCACTGCTCACCGGAAGCTCTTGAATTAATTCAGAGATATAAGTAATTCTTAGAAATTCAGAGTGATTTCAACTTGAGTCCACCATAGAACCTTGCACATAGGGATAGACAAATTATTATAAAGTGGTAATGATGGGAATTCTCTAAAATGTGAACGTACAAAGATCCAGGTGAACTTCGAATTTGTCTGTCTTCTTGGGGTTCTTCTATTTAGCAGATAGAGTGGATTTAACATATTTTAGTACTCCATACAAATTTCGGAGTCCTGGCCAAATATTTCAATTCCTATGAAGGATGTTATTGAAAAATCATTGCAGACAATAAAATTTAGAGAGCGTTCTTTTTACTTTTAGAAAATGATAGGGAAAGTAAAATTCAATATCAAGACCATTGTTTCCTGAGAAGCACTAGCTACTGTATGTATATGAATAGAGCAAATAAATACATTATTCCTTAGAAAAGGGAACAAACTAACTGCCAAGTTGGAAATTACTGGAGTGGTTTACTGAATTGTGGCTCTAGAAAAAGCAAATGAAGATATGAGAAGTAGAGTTCAACTGATTTGATCAAATCCTTACCATTTCTGGTTGGATTTCCCAATCCTTTTAATGTATGTACCTTACAGTATATAATGAAAGCTGAGTGCCGAAGAATTGATGCTTTAGAACTTTAGTGTTGGAGGAGACTCTTGAGAGTCCCTTGAACTGCAAGGAGATCCAATCAGTCCATCCTAAAGGAAATTAGTCCTGAATATTCATTGGAAGTTGC